AATATCCCTTGCTGAGTAGTAATCTTACTCATTCACTCAACTTATTTCATCCAGCCTTTCTTATGCTCACTGTGCACTTAGTAACTGGGCAGCTGAATTACAAACTTAAGGTGAGTAACAACAAGGGGCAGGAAGGTTGCTGTACCAGTCCCATCACATGCCATTAACATACCAGCTGCAGTGCTCATAATTTCCCATGCTGGATTAAGGGAGAATTTACTTGGTTAAACTTGCTCTACAAGACTCAAGGCTTGGTCCTCAGTTCATGTTATGCTCATGCTTGCTACAACTGCAAGAGGGAGGAGAAGACAATGTCATACTGACTTGCCACCAACCCAGAGCTTCAGGTTCTCAGGGTCTGAACCAGCCTCTTGTATAGCAGGCTGGCCTAAGGGTTTCTCTAAGAAACAAACCTGGTGTTTTTTCTCATGTTGGGGATCTAAGGAAAATAAGAGGCAAGAGGTAAAATCAGTCCAAACTTCTCTTCACAGCAGTTAATTTATTATCTTCTAGCTCTTGCTTTAGTTCATGCTTGCACTTGTGTGTAAAGACAGCATGTTCACAAGTAAATAATTTCTAGTGTTCCTGCCACAGAAACATAGCCTCCTTTCAACCCTTGGACTAACTGTACTCCTCCAAAAGGAACCAGCTTGATCCTACCAAACTTCTGCTAGTCCTCATTTACCTGGAAGACTAAACGAAGGCTCCCTCTGCCCTCTGTTGGGCAGTCCATGATGGAAAGTGGATGGTACCAGCAACACAGAATCAGGACCTGGTGAAGTGCAGAAGCCTCCGCTGAGGAAAGGGGTGGAGAAAGTGGAAAATTCACAGTAGAATCTGGAATGTGTTGAATTTAATATCACTGGGGCAAATGGTGTTATCATGGTATCATAATGCTAATGCTTGCTACAGTAGTATAAATATTGCTGTGGGTTGAGATGGTATTAACTGAGCTAGATCCCCAGCAGTGTTACTGTGTGCTGCTGCACAAGATGATAGCAGTCAGGAAATCATGTTGTGAAGGACTTTGTGCAAACCCACGAGGCAATACTTGTCTCAGAGTTTATGCTTGAGGCAGGGAGAGTTTAATTGTGGAGAGAGTAACACATTTGTGAGTAATATAAACCTATGTCTATGCTGCCCATAACACCACTATATTAAAAGCCAATATAGGGCACAAAGAACAAGGGCTCTCATCCACATGGGACCCCTGCTAAGCTAAATTAGCAGTGTGAGTCATGCAGCCTGCATGTAAGAAAGCTGCTGCAGCTTTCAGCTGCTGGCTGGGGCCCTCACAAGCCATGAAGCTACAGAGCAAAGCACTGCACTTAGAAGATGCCAGCGATGGCATCACTGTTAAAACCTTCATTAGGCACCTTGTGACATTTACCATGATAAAATCCAACTGGATCATCACTGTACCTGCCTCACTGAACAGAACAGCTTGTCCTTGCTGGAACAGTCATTACGCAACACCTCTTTCATCTGCGTCATTCACTATGGGTATTCTTCTTCACTCCTCACCAAACCTCTGTGCAGGGTAAAACAACACTAGTTTCCTAATTCAGGGTGCTCCTGAACACTGCCACCACAATATCATAGTGTTTCACAGGCAGAAATCTTTGCAATGTGTATATAAGTTTGTGGGAAAGTGAAATCGACTGCAGTTTCTGGGTATGGGGGAGCTGAGGTACAGAATATAATGTTCTCATTGTTTGTGGGTATCCCTTTGAGACATGCAGGGTTTGTTTTGTCAGAGTATTCAGCATTTTCAAAGGGCAGTGAACAAATTATGGACATTCTTTTTATTAAAAAAAAAAACAACAATTCAGATTGCATGAAATTCTTCTTACAGTGTACATAATAGATTAATTGTCTAGTCAAGTAACTACCTGGCTTTGTATGGAGTACCTGTGTGAAGTACCTGTATTATCAGAAGCTTACACTGATGTTTTCTCCTAGCCTTGAAATCTACAGCATCTCCCAGCCATGCCAGTAAACCTAAACCTTTTTTTTAAATATAATTCTGAAGAAATATATTCTCTTTTTTTTTAAAGCTTTTTTTTCCCCTGTTTCACAGCTTTTCAGTGACTTTGAGATATTTAAATTTACAACCCAGAACTTCCCCACTTGAACTATTACAGCAAATGATACAGTCACAGGATGTATTCATGTTGAATAACATTTTGTTGTTGTTTCATATGCTCTGTTAGGTAGTGGTTGGGGTTTTTTTTTGTAATTTTTTTGTTCTTTTTCCGGTTCTTTTTTCTTCACTACATCCTATTCCCTCCATTTTGTGCCTATCTTGTGCCATCTGGTGTCCCAAATCTACCACTGACAGCAACAATGAAAGGACCAGGGTACATACGAATAGTCAGTGCTACATTAAGATGTCGTAAAATACAGTGCTATGGGGCATCAATCTCCTGCATCAGAGGATTAGGGCAAACCATGCCGCTAGCGTGACTTGTCTTTAAGCACTCCTTGAGAATATCTGCGTTGGAGCACCTTCACGCTAGGTGGAGCTGATCCGTCCTCCTTTAATAAATGCTGTCAGCTCCTGCCACCCACTCCTTGATGTAGCTGTGGGAAGGTGCTGGTCCTTTCAGCCATCGCAGAGCAGTATGCCTTGAGCTGAAATTGGTGGGAGTTACATGAAATGATGTCTTTGTTCTGGTCTTGCTCATTAGTTAGGAAGGACATTTTGTGTATGGGTTGCCATGGGTTAGTACCAAAGGACGCTGACTATAACTGACAACGGAGTTTGCTGGAGAAGCTGTGGGCTGGCACCTAATGCAAGGCATGTCTGGAGCATTTTGTTGCCTTTAGGTCATGCTGCATAAAGTAGAGCTGTCAGGAAGTCTCCTGCTTGCCCATTATCAGAGGCAGGTGTGCAGGAGCACACAGAAACTGCAGTCTGCCAGCAATGCAACCTCAGTGTCTCAGACAAGATGGTCACAGCCTGAACTCCTGTCCTGCTGCTGTGAGCCAGTGATTTGAGCTGTGACAAGAAGGTTGGTGATGTAACCCTGTGAAAGCATGACTGAGTTAGATGAACCTGTCCAGGGGAACAGAGACACGCTACTCCTTTGGGAGTTACAGAACTCTTTGGTGTGGTATCAGGTATGCCAGTGTGCCTGCAGCACTCCAAATATCAAACACAAACATTATCACTTGCGTATGTTGTGGATGAAGGGCTACAGATTTCCTACCAGGACTTTTGCCTTTCTCTGTGGACTGTTCTCTGTAGGACTGAGGTCAGCTGCCACTCAGGTTAACAGATTTCAAACCTTATTTCTGGAGAGTACTGTGAGCTGGGGTCTTGGGGTGAACTCTGCACTGAGAACTATTTCAAACTTTGCAAGATGATTCAAGGAGAATTTCTGTGTAAGTAAGAGGAAATCCTCACTTTTAACTATTTTCACAGATAAAAGGTACATAACATGCTGGTTTCAAAGTTTGCCTCAGTTTATGACTGAGGCTTATGAAAAATGTATTTGTGCTGGTTGTGGCTGGGATAGAGTTAATTTTCTTCACAGTAGCTGGTATGGGGCTGTGTTTTGGATTTGTGCTGGAAACAGTGTTGATGATACAGTGTGTTTACAGAGGCAAGGCCTTTTCTGCTCTTCACACCACTCTACCAGCAATTGGACTGAGGGCGCACAAATAAATTTGGAGCGGACAGAGATGGGACAGCTGACCCTGACTGACCAAGGGATATCCCACATCATATAGCATCATGCTCAGCATATGAAGCTGGGGGAAGAGGGACAAGGAGGGACATTCAGAGTGATGGTGTTTGTCTTCCCAAGACACTGATACATGTGATGGAGATGGCTGAACACCTGCCTGCCCATAGGAATTGGTGAATTAATTCCTTGTTTTGCTCTGCTTGTGTGAGCAGCTTTTGCTTTACCTATTAAATTGTTTTTACCTCAACCCAAGAGTTTTCTCACTTTCTGATTCTCTTCTGCATTCCACTGTGGGGGGAGCCAGCAAGCAGCTGTGTGGGGCTTAGTTGCTAGCTGGGAGTTAAACTACGACAGTATTTCATATTTTAGAACCAGAGCAAGTGTGTGCATGACCCCCAGGCAAGGCTGAAGCAGGGCTCTGCCTCCTGCATGCCCAGCGAGCATTGGCTGCGGCAGGGGGCAAGGGCCAGCAGGCCTGCCTGTGCCATTCCTGCCCTGCACCTGGCAAACCAGCAGCAGGCTGGAAAGCGCAGCGGGCTGCAGCCAAGTCCAAGGTCCAGGCAAACAGAGCAGCTCATGTGCCTCAGCTTTGTCTGCACGGCATCTCACCAGCACACTGCCCGGCCTCACAGGCCCCACTGCCTGAGCTGTACACTGCCCTCAGCCCTGCTGCAGCAAAGGGTCCACACGCCACAGAGTAACTGCTTATACTGACCAACTCATGGGATCATTCAGAGAACCTCCCAGTAGAGAAAGACAGGTGTGCTGGCTGGTCAGTGCCCACCGTGTCTCCATGGCCAGGCCTCATACCAGGGACCAGGGCCATTGGAATAATCTCCCCAGGAAAGTGGTGGATTCCCCAACACTGGACACTGTTAAGAGTCAGCTGGACAGGGTGCTGTGACATCTAGTCTAGGTCATGTTTGTCTAAAAAGGTTGGACTATACGATCCTTAAGGCCCCTTCCAACCTGGTATTCTGTGCTTCTATGATTCCATGCCTGTCCTGGCAGAGCCCCCAGCCCCGCTCTGGTCCTGTTGAGCTCCAAAGGCTGTCTTGGCACCTGTGGTGGTGGGTGGCAAGACCGCTCCAGGTACCAGAGCCTGCCCTGGCCTGGGTCTGGATCTGCCCCAGGGCAGAGAAGGCCTCTAGAGCCTACCGTGGTACCGGGGGTCAGCTTTTGAGGGTAGCCCAGGCTGCAGGGGGATCCGGGGCTCGGCTGGCCGCGGGGAGGTGGGTTCGTGGAGGGCCCATGGGGGTGGGCAGCCCGGTCCCCTCTCGTTCGTAGCTGCCGGGGCCCGGGCCCGCCCCGCGCAGGCGGAGGCACCGCCTCTACTTAAGGCGCGCTTGGAGGGATTGGTACCTCCTTCCTCGCCGGCTGCCGCGGCTCGCCAGCATGTCGGACAGGCTGCCGTACAAAGTGGGTGAGTGCGAGCCCCGCCGCCGGGGAAGCGCAGTGCTCCGGGCCTGGCCTGCTGCCGCAGCGCCGTGCCGGGGAGCCGCGGCTGGATGCGGCCGCGGGGGGAAGATGGCAGCAGCCCGCTGGCCGTGCCGCCGCGGAGGGCAGGCGGCCGCGGCGCCGCGTGTGCTGCCGGCCACCCGCGGGGAAGGAGCGGGGCTCGGCGGGCTCTGCCCGTCGCTCTGGAGCTGTCGGCTCTTCCTGCAGCGGCTCTTCAATCCGGCGTTCCGCTGCTCTCCTGCCCCGGGGCCCACGGCCTCTGCTCTGCCTCCAGCTCCGTTGGGACAGGCTTGCGCTCCGAACGTGAAAGTGTGTTTGAATCTGGGGCCTGTGCCGCACGCTTCCCCAAAGGTTTGGGCGGGTGTTTCTGTAGACCTGAAACCCCACAGAGAAAAAAAAACCAACAAAAAACCCCTAATTTTTCTACAGAGTTGTGTGCTCTTTGAAGGCTAAATTCAAAGAGAAGAACCTTAGCCTATAAGGCTGAGATTTAGAACTCATTTAGCCTGGAGGTTATGGATTAAATACTGCCAGGTTTATTTGTTGGGCTTTTTTAAGCAGCGCTGGTAAAGCTGCGGAGCCCTTAGGAGGGGTGGGATTCAAGATCTCCCTCTCCTGATAGAATTGTTTCCGTGGCCCTTCCCCTGCCGTGGGTTTTTGCAGTCTCCGCTTGGTGTAACAGCTGAACACCAGTCAGCTGAAGCAGAGGCAGTGGTTTCTGTGGCCTCCAGGCTTCATTCAGGAGCAAAATGCAATTAGCTTGTCTGTATTACACACACAGTCTGACTCTGAGGTCCTGCCTGGTGTTCTCAAGTGCTTTCAATGGCCTGTGTTCACCAGGTAGGTGAAAGAAAACTATCTGACCATATTTCTTAATGAAATGGTAAGCTGCTGACATGCTTGAAAGAGCCAACCGAGCCAGAGGGCCACTGGGTACTGGCTGATGCTGCAGAGCGCTGCACCTAGGCCCTGGCTGTTTGACCCTTGCCTTTTCAAGGCTGGAGTCAGGCATCCATGGCGAGCACAGTATTTTCTACTGCAAGTTAGCATCTTGGAAGTCTTTTGTTCATTTTTTTTTTCCCTGGACTTTTCTACTCCAGATCTGTTTTATAAAGCAGATGTAGACTTGTATTTAAGGTAGTTGTGATGCCTTAAAAATAATCTTTGTGGGTATAAGGGGTAGGAACAGCTCTTAAGAGGGGCAGCTGGACTGGACTCAGCTCCTGGTGCACACGGCAGCTACCATGCTGTCTGTGCTATAATGTGGGGAAGCTATTGCCATACCAGCAGCCCCTCCATGCGTGTCTTAATCCTGTGGATGTAGATCTGTAGGAGGTGTCAGGCCCTTGGGCAGTCTCTGCAAGGAGGAACGCTTAAGGCTGGGGCTTACCAAATTAAAGGCCCTTGGAATGTCTGCACGTTAGATCAAGTTGATGAATATGCTCATACAGCAGCACACTTTTTCCAGAGGGGCTGTTAAGTTAGCTCTAAACTCGTTTGAAAGCCTGTGTATCATAGTGAAAAACTAGGGAGTAACTGGAATAGGGTCTGTTTGCCTAACTGTCTCTGCCGGCTGTTGCTGGTTGTTCAGTTCAGCTGTTGTAGCCAGTGCCTACCCACACGGGTATGAACAGATACCAGAATCTTAGCTATTTCAACTCTGACAGCTATCCTTCTCTTGCAGCTGACATCAGCCTTGCAGACTGGGGTCGCAAGGCCATTGAGATTGCAGAGAATGAGATGCCAGGGCTGATGAAGATGCGGGAGATGTATGCTGCATCAAAGCCACTGAAAGGTGCACGTATCGCCGGTTGCCTTCACATGACTGTGCAGACAGCAGTTCTCATAGAGACCCTTATCAAGCTGGGAGCTGAGGTAAAGTGCCTCTGGGTTTTTCCTTTAGTGTTCTGTTAGATAATGCTCTGCCTAGGATGCTGCTTGTGCTTATATAAGTACCTTAGGGGTTTTGGCAATTGGCTGTAATTTTTGTAACAGGCTGTGCTGCAGTCCCCAGATGGATGTATTATGTCTTCTGTCCTTAAGCAAAAAGCTTGTCACCTGCTCTGCATACACCTCTGGGATGTGGTATGTGTTTTTCCTCTGGACAAGCTGCATCTTCATGAGTGGCTGTTCTGGGCTTCGTTGCTGACTGCAGCAGCTCCAGCAGTTGTGTGTACAGCACCCTTAGCAGCAGTGCTGAAAGCTGGTACGACATAGTGTTGTGCTCGGGCATGTATCTTTGTTGCCAGTAATGTGGAAGCACAGTGACAGCCTCCAGCACAGATTAGCCTGTATTAAGCGCCACACTGTGCCCTGGTAAAGTCAGCAGAAAAACAGTGAAGCTTCTGAAGAGCTCGTGCTGGCCCTTTAGCTGTGCAGGAAAACAACACAGGGGCAGCGCAGCTCAGTGATCGATGACTGGGGACTCCAATGACTTTGAATTTGTTGTGTGACTATGGACCAGTTACCCTGGTCCATATGAAATACTGAGATACCTGTACGCCATTTACTCTGTTGTGCCCTCTGCCTGGCTTGCTGGCTCAAGTCCAGACATCATTGCTGAGTGTTCATTTTACAGGGCATGAGGAGAGTCAGGCATCTGAGCACAATTCACGTAGCTCACATGCTGAGCAGCAGGGAACTGACTGGAACCTGATGATGAGTTATGTTAAGTATGCATGTGATCTGAAGCTCCTTCTAGAAGTTTAGCTGCCTGAGCTCAGGCTGCCCAGAGGTGCTCTATATGGGATCCCTCCCTGTGAATTGCTGAATGAGTTGAGCAGTGTCATGCTGATCAAAAGGCACTGGGAGAAAGAGAAGCTTTCTCTGTAGCCACTAAGGCATTTCCTCAAAACGTGGAGAGGGTAGGTCTCAAAACATGCCAGGTCAGCCTGGGCAAGGTAGGTACCTGCTGTTGTGCAGGGTATTCTTCAGCCTGTTCAGGGCTGTTCCACAGTTGTAAATGATGCAGTACTGAAAGAGAGCTTTGTGGAGCTAGTCCTGGCTTTATGCCAGCTACTCTGTATATGAAACTCTTGTCCCTCCACAGGATTTAAAAGAAAGCAGTAGCCACTGAAATTTGGGAAGCTCCTTGCTGTTGCTGTTGGTTGCTGTGTGTCAGCATGACTGCCCTGGGCAGAGGCTGTGTGCTTACTTGAGCATTGCCAAGCTGTTTTATTCTGAGCACAATACCCAGTTAGTGTTGTGTGGGATTCATCCAAGTCATTCAGGGAAGTACCTGCAGAGATTTGGTTCCTCTAAGCATAAGTGCATAAGCATGGTTGTGCTTTTAAGGTGTATTCTGTCATGTTAGCTCTTTCCTTTTCCCAGTGCTTGCATTTATTTAGTTTAGACTTGCATTTATTTAGTTTAGACTTTGACTTGGGTTTGGATTCAGCCCGGGTTCATCTGTTCTGCCAGAACTTTGGTGCCCAAGAGGGAGGAGTGAAATTGATGAAACCATGCCCTATAGAATGACCATGTAGCTCACTGCAGCATAGTTATCTTGGTACCCCTTTTTTGGCTAGGTTAGCAAAGATGGAATAAATACTCTCTCCCTCAGAGTGCCTAAATTCTAAAATTGTACTAAAAATGCATTATCTTCATAACCAGTGATGTAAATATTAGCTCTGAGCCTATCGGGTATGCTAGTTATTCTAGGGTCTATGCTGTTATCACAAACTGGTGTTATAGATCTGAGGATGCAGTTGAAGTGGCTGATGTATCAAGTATTTGAAGTGTGACCAATAGACAGGTATTTTGTATGCTTTGAATGTCATGACATCTGTCAGTGTCATCTGTACTGATATGGAAGGAGCTTAGAAAAACCCAGATGAGGAAGTACAGTGCTTATGGTCATGAATTTGTTTTTCCTGTGCTCCTTCCAGTTGTGTTTTCACTGACAAGTATCGTGCAGGCTCAGATGAGGTACTTCCTACTGCAGCCCTTACTTTGAAGTGTCAACTATTGATAAAGTGAGATGAGTATCTGGAAACAGGCTGAAGGATTATGCCTTATTGCTCTCTCTCCTCGAGCTCTGTTACGAATAAGCATGCAAAAACCTGCCAGTCAGCCCTGCAGTGAGAACTTGCTTGTTGCTCTGGGATGTGGTGGGTTTTGTGCCTGCTGGGGAGGTGCAGTAAGTATGTAGATACTTTTCAATGCAACTCAGCGATATGCTGTTGCTTTTCTAGGTGCCTGAGCCTAGTGTGGAAAATGCTTAGCTCAGATGGAAAAGCTTCTATGACTGGAGCACAGAGAGGGAGGTGCGTGAGCATAATCTTGGGAGAATGCCTGTTTGATCAAGTGTAGTTTCAGCTGCATTTCTGACCCTTCTGAGTGCCAGCAGGTGTGTTGCTGCATATCTGTATCCCTCAGTGGACACTTGCTATGTGGCTGTTCTGAAAATCTGAACTTCATTGACCAAAACTTTCTAAAACCCACCCTACTGTGCACTTCCTGCAGATCTATAGCTGAATGTATGCTCTGGCTGCCTGGCAGAATGTCTCATGAATAAGCTCTCATGAGTGAATATGCAGCACAGCTAAAGCTCTGTTATATTCTCTCCCCAAGTGACATTATTTCCCCAGGCCTAGTCACATACTTGATTTTCACCTTAACCTTTCAGAGCTACTAAGAAAGGCAAGAACCTGCACTAATATGCCTTTCTGCTCTTGCTCCCTTTTCACCTCCTGTGTCTGGATGAGAGTGCCTGATATCTCAGAACTTTGTTCAGCAAACAAAACTTGGATTGTTTTCCAGGTACAATGGTCAAGCTGCAACATTTTCTCCACACAGGACCATGCTGCAGCTGCTATTGCAAAAGCTGGTATCCCTGGTAAGTTTTCAATGTTCTAATTTGGCTCTGAGTTGAGGTGTACTGCCTGTTCCAGCTAAATCAAACTACAAAACAAGCTCTTCTGAACAGGTTTCAGCATAGAAGTAGCCCATCAAAAGTAGTGATTGTTACCAAACAGGATGTCTGATTCAAGCTTTGCATCAGACTACTTGTAGCGTTCCTAACAGTGGCTGGTGTTGGGCTATGGAGGAGCCTGGCTGGATGTTACCAGCTTTTAAGCCTGGTCATTAAGCTGATTGAATGGGCTTGGGTAATTAAATGGATTGGTGTTTGGGTGTGTGTAGATGATGGTGGTTGGTGCTTTCCAGCAAGCTTGGAGCTAAACAGGGGTTGGGGAAGGGATCTTGATGGTAGTGTGATACATTACAGTGACAGTGTCAATCCTCAAGATATTTTTAGGCTAGATCTAGGCCAGCTGTGTTGCTGCCTAATGTCCCTGAAGCACTTTATCAGGATGCTGCTGTTGTGTTACTGGCGCCTTCCAATAAAGAGGCAGTCCTTGCAGGTACATTAAGCTGTCTGCTGTGTTACTTGGCTTAAGGACATGCAGTCCTCCTAGCTCTGTGCTGGGAACTGCATAACTTGAGCCTGGATGTTTGCAGAGGTTAGATCTGATTTCTGGCAGCCTGTTTTTTTTTGCTTTGGGAGGTGTTTTTCATAGAATTCAATAGTGCCACAAGTCCTTCCCCAGCTGTGTCCATTCTAAGGTAACAGAAGAAAGCGGTCCCTTCATTACTAGCTGCAGGTAACGTGTCCTCTGCTGGTCTCTAGCATCTGATGTCAAAAGACCAGATGGGACTCTAGATCCGATGTTAGAATACTGACTTCCTCACTGCTCTCAACACCCAAAACTCAACTGAAGAGCAGTTTATAGGTGGAGTATTTATCTAAGTTTTTGAACTCTCCCCTTGGTATCCTTGTTTTGTGAAACTTGCTCTTTTTGTTAATACTGCACTTCACATACTGAATTTACAAAATGCTGGAGGGCTGCTGATTCTTTGGATACAATATGAGGTACTGATTTGCCCCTTCAGAATGGGCAATTGCATGGTTGGCTTTTCATAGCTCAAGGTTAATTTTCTGTGTAAACAGTGGAAAACATGAGAATTTAGCCAAATGTTGGGGTGTCTAAGTTGTGCCTGATATATGTTTGAATGGATTGAATACCACTGAGGCTGAAGTATAGTATGAATCTAGTACAAATGCCAGGAAAGGCAGAAATACTGCCAGATACAACATGCTAGTGGTTGCAGCATATTGCTGGTGGTAGATGTACCGATACAGAAATATACCCTATTACAAGCAGACAAGGCATGGTAGCTTGGATTTTGGGGCTGTGCTAGAGGCTAAAGTTTAAAAGTTTCTGATGAGTTTGGTGCTAAATTTTAGTCCCTCTCTTCTGCTGTGCTAGAAAATGCTGTAGTTGTGTTTTCATTTGTCTATATAAATATATCCAGAGGCTATTTCTAATTCCTAGTAACATAGGGTGTATTAGGGGAGCATGTGAGTGTTGCGGATGTATCTGGTTTGGTTTGCTTTGCCTTCTCTCTCTTAATATGGAAGAAGGATAAAGAGAGCAGTGAAGCCTCAAAATTTGACCAAGTTTGTGCCCTGGAACAGAAAGCAATGTGATTTCATTCCTGCTCATTCTGAAATCCTTTTTTCAATTCAAATGTCTCTTCTGACCTGCAGGCACAGATAATAATCTGTCTGTCTGCTTCTGAGAGGTGCTGATGAAATCTTCTTTTGGCTGCTTTACCACATGCTGAGTAAGAAACTGGCTAATTGTGTGTTTGTTCTTGTGTAGTGTTTGCCTGGAAAGGGGAGACAGATGAGGAATACTTGTGGTGCATTGAGCAGACCCTGTACTTCAAGGATGGGCAGCCCCTCAACATGATTTTGGATGATGGTGGAGATCTTACAAATCTAGTTCATACCAAATACCCACAGCTCTTGAAAGGTGAGTGCTATTCTGCTTTGTCAGGCACAGTTCTGCTTTGGAGGCTGTTTATGCAGTCGCTTTCTGTGGGTGGGGTAGAGACAGGCATGTGCGAACAGGCTGTGAGTCTGTGAAAACCGCTTACAGGCCAAGACCAAAGCATCTTACCTGCAGGAGCTGCTTCCATCTCTGCTTTTTAGTATCTAAGCTGCAGTGACCTGTCCTGGTCATCCTTCACAGTGCCCATAACCTGTACCAGTGGTACAGCTGGCTTGCCAAGGCTTCCAGCCTTCCTGGAAATGGGCTGTGTTTTAGAATTGTTCAATGTCTGCTTGCAGTTAATATTTTTACCATTAATGCTTTTACTTCCTCATCATCTTAGCACACTTCTGGATGAAGTCATGGCAACTTGTAACCTTTCTTGGAAAGGGAACAATTTTCTGCCTTATAAACTACAAGGCATTGACTCATCCAGTTTGTCAGTGAAGATGCTGATGGAGTCAGGATTGGGGCTCTTGCTTTAACTTACCTTCAGTGTAAGTTAGTGAAACTAAAAGCAGATCAGTGTGGTGTTGCTGGCACATGTTTATGTAAAGGGTTTATCTGAATAGAATTTGGCATGACCTGCAGGAGCTGATCTGTGCCTCCCAGACATGAAGCATGATGGCTTCTCCTGAGCTCTCCCAGTGTCCATTATCTGTGCTGCTGCAAGCTGCAGACACCCAGTGTTGCTAAAGGGCACGCTTGATCTGGGATGTGAAGAACATTGGAAAGTGATATGGGGTGGAGATTATACTGATACAGTGCTGTGTACTAATATTCATTCTAGGTCAACCTAGAGGTGAGGTTGCTGTAAAAACCTTCTGGATCAGTGCTTATTCTTGCACTGCTTTAAGAGGAAGCTATGGGGGAAAATTTGAAGGTGGCAACCCATGGATATGGCTGTGTGAGGGGAAAAGTCTGGGGCTGCTCCCCATCTGTGTGCTAATGTGGGTAGGGGCAGCAGGAAGAGAGGAAGCTGCTTCTGTGTAACAGGCCTCAGTTTCTCCTTCATCCTCAGCCTGATGTCCCTAGTAATCCAGTCAACATCTTATTTGAACTGTAGTGAGAGGTTTTTATTGGTGTCTGCTCAGCCATGCTGGGATCCTCTCTTCTGCCAAAGGTCTTCTTTCTAGATTGTCTGTCTGATGTTCATGATCTCTTGTGTTCCTGCCAAACCACAAAGGATCATGCCTTTATGTCTTCCTGGCAGTGTCAGAGGCCAAAAAAAAAATGCATTTTCCACATTCATACTCTGTTTTGCAGAGTTACTTCTTCGCCATGAATATGAAGCACCTCAGTTGATGTCCCTGTTCTTGGGGGTCCTTGTGCTGAGCTTCTTTCACACTTCCATCCCTCCTGCTGTCTGCTGTTTTGTCCTCTGCAGCCCTTTGCTCTTTCTTACTTGTGTGGTCCTGGTGTGGAAGGGACTGATATAGTATGGTGCAGCAGGGCAGTGGCTGTTGAAGTGTCTCCTGTCTTGGCCATCTGCCATTGATGATAAACATCCCTGCTGCCTGGGATTGCTCCCTGAATTCATGGGGATGGCTTTTCTACTGTATTTTTAGAGTCTAGACAGGATGCCATATGTAGCAGAATGTGTGCACTATGTGCTTTTAATTTAGTAAACTAATTAAAGACTGATCTCTGGAGTGTGACAGAACTTGATCTGTTCAACCTTCCAGTCCATTGCTCCTTAGAAACAGCAAAACTTCCAGAATGGTACCACTGAGTAGTCTTGATCTCATTTAATGAAGTTCTGTGCTTAGCCCTTTGCTGCAAATACTGCTTAAATGAAGCTGTGTAGCATCTGTTTTTATTATCTTGATGATAACAGAGGCTAATATATCCTAGGGGCTTGTGGTAATATTTGGGTGAGAGGTAGGACAAAAGCAACATTAGAAGAGCATGCACAGTGTGTGGAAGGACTTTATTGTGAGCAGAGGAGGCATTTTAGCATGCAGCATCTGAAAAGGCTACTTGTCATTTAAAGGCTGAACAAGTTTTCTGGGGTAATTTCAAAGGGAAATGCCTGTTTTCCAAGCTTCAGCAACTTCTAATTTAAATAGAAGTTAGTTCAGTACTAGCGTGCAACTAACAGTTGAAAGTAGGGCTATTCAAGCCTGCTTCAACTAGGAGATATGTTAAATAGCTGTGTGGAAATGCTCAGCAAGCTTCCTCTCTCTTTCATCATGCCTGCTGTTGGAGGGCAGAATGGCCTTGTTACTTTGGGCTTATTCCACTAAATTAAATGCCCTTAAAAGTAAGATAAAGATAGGAATGGTTGAAGTAGAACTGAACAAAGGAGAAAGTCATCTGAACTCGTGCAAGGGAGGTCTTTGGCATCTGTGCAGAAGACTGCTATTGAGAAAGGATAGAGAAGATTGGATCACTTGTGATCCATTGCTGCAGACTTGCTCATTGACCAGGAAAGAAATACAGGGGAGCAAAGTGCTTAGCAAGGCTTTTTCAATGTAATTCAACCTTTTCCTTAGTGTAGGCCCTTTGCAGTCATTGAAGTCACTCTGGCATTGAAATTGAGTGGTGTAGGCAGGACTCTCAGTGGAGTTGCAAAGCAGTTTAGACCAGTTATAAGTATCACCTGGGGACAGCAGGCAGGTGGTCTTCAGAGAAGGGAACCTGCTGGTGTGTGTGATGTGAGGTTCACTTAGCAGACTGTCTTTAAAATTGCACTAAGCTTAGGAAAGTCAGCCTGGAGAGCTTTTGAAGGATAAGTGTGTCTCCTGGTTGCCAGATACACCTGAGGAGAGAGAGGACAGGTTTGAACTGGAGGTTTCTGCTGTGATTTCCCCCAGATTTCCTTCACATAGGGATGATTGTACTTAGAATCATAGAATCATAAAATAGTTAGGGTTGGAAAGGACCTTAAGATCATCAAGTTCCAACCCCCTGCCATGGACAGGGACACCTCGCACTAAACCATCTCACCCAAGGCTTTGTCCAGCCTGGCCTTGAACACCACCAGGGATGGAGCATTCACAACCTCCCTGGACAACCCATTCCAGTGCCTCATCACCCTAACAGGAAAGAATTTCCTCCTTATATCCAATCTAAATTTCCCCTGTTTCAGTTTTAACCCGTTACCCCTTGTCCTGTCACTACAGTCCCTAATGAAGAGTCCCTCCCCAGCATCCCTATAGGCCCCCTTCAGATACTGGAAGGCTGCTATGAGGTCTCCACGCAGCCTTTTCTTCTCCAGGCTGAACAGCCCCAACTTTCTCAGCCCGTCTTGATATGGGAGGTGCTTCAGTCCCCTGATTATCCTCACGGCCTCCTCTGGACTTGTTCCAACAGTTCCATGTCCTTTTTATATTGAGGACACCAGAACTGCACACAGTGCTCCAGGTGAGGTCTCACAAGAGCAGAGCAGAGGGGCAGGATCACCTCCTTCGACCTGCTGGTCACACTCCTTTGGATGCAGCCCAGGATACAGTTGGCTTTCTGGGCTGTGAGCGCACACTGAAGCTGGCTCATGTTCATTTTGTCATCGACCAGCACCTGAAGTCCTTCTCCACAGGGCTGCTCTGAATCTCTTCTCTGCCCAACCTGTAGCTGTGCCTGGGATTGCTCCGATCCAAGTGTAGGACCTTGCACTTGGCATGGTTAAACTCCATGAGGTTGGCATCAGCCCACCTCACAAGTGTGTCGAGGTCCCTCTGGATGGCATTCCTTCCATCCAGGGTATCAACCGAACCACACAGCTTGGTGTCATCAGCAAACTTGCTGAGGGCGCACTGAATCCCACTGTCCATGTCAGTGACAAAGATGTTGAACAAGACCGGTCCCAACACCAATCCCTGAGGGACGCCACTCGTTACTGGTCTCCAGCCGGACATTGAGCCACTGACCACAACTCTGTGTGTGGCCATCCAGCCGGTTCTTTATCCACCACTTTATCCATACTTGATCTAAGCAGTTGCACTGGGTTATTGATACTTTTGGGTAACTTAACTACAGATGCTGTATTTAGCTGTGCATGAGGCAATGTTCTTTAAACTGTTCTGTCCCCTCTAAGCAAGTCCTAACTGTGCTGAAGCCTGAATTTGTTCTCTCTTCAGGTAACCCTCTGAGAAGTGCAGGTACTGTAGGCTTGGTGTGAGGTTTGGGGTTACAGACCTCTGGGGATAAATCAGCCTAATATCAAGCTCTGTTTACTTCTGGCTTAGTTGGTCTCATTTCCTTCTTGTGACAGAGAGTGGCAGTGCTTCAACCTGGTGCTCTGGGAAGGAAAAGGGAAATGTAATGGCTTTTAAACTCCATTGAGACTGGTACAAATTCTGTTTGAAGTGTTTGGGACCAGATTGGACTGGGTTTGGAGCAACCTGGTCTAGTGGAAGTTGTCCCTGTCCATGGCTGACAGCTTTGATTGTCCTCTGGGCAAAGGCAGTGGCTCAGCTGGAGGTCTGGGTCTTGAGCTGGTCCCTTCCATTTTTCCAAAGAATATTTTGTCCTGCTCTTTTAATTGCCTTATGGGGAAAGAAGCTTGCTTGAAGTTTCAAACTACTGTTTGTGGACCAAAACGAGGGTTCTTACCTCTTCCCTGCTTCCTGCAAAGAGTTTGTTAGACCTCTGGAGTATGCTCCCAGTGCTTGGATGTGTTGGTTTGCAGCACTGTTAACTCCAACTTTTATTCTCCCCACAGGAATTAGAGGTATTTCAGAAGAGACAACCACTGGAGTTCACAACCTGTACAAAATGAAGGCCAATGGGACCCTGAAAGTGCCAGCTATCAATGTAAATGACTCTGTCACCAAGGTAATGCATCTAGAGCCCTTCTGCTATGTTCTGCTGTCTGACCAGTTCGGTGTGGGTATGTCAGCATTTCCATGCAAGTATTGCTTCTCTTGCTGAGCTATTCTTGATCTGGTACTGAACAGATTTTTGCCATATCCTTGAAGTGAGCCCATGGTGTCTCTAATGGGAAGTGCCATATTTTCAGAACATGAAGAGCTTTTTTTATATGTAAGGACATGCATTCTTCTACATCTCAATGTGAAAACACCTATAGAGATCATGGCTTCTGGGGTACAGTTCCTATGGCAAGGGACATGTCCTCACTCTTGAGCAGCTTAAAGCCCACAGGTAGGTGGCGGATACCAGATGGAAAAAGGAGTGTTTATAAGCTTGTGACTGGTAAAAGGTGTGATATCTCTGAGCAGCTGTTGCAAAGGACAGGGCAGTAGGTATTTATTCTGTTCTTAGGTATATTACTGCTTCCTGAGACAAATTCCAGTGAATTCGGGGATGAGGGGGAATGGTGTTCAAAGAGTGCTGGTGCTATTTGGATGCAGGTGAATTATAGTAGTAATTACAGGAGTGCTTAAGGCTTTATGCATGTACATGTTTAAAGTCCAGTTGCTAAATCTATTTCAAGTTACCATACTAACATTATCCTGTTGGGCATGGCAGTTCTCACTGACTGTTTGGCCTCCGTTCTCTGCAGTTTGCTGCCTTAAGAGTATCTCCTTTCTGCTCACAAAGAGGCATCTGGCATTTTTTTCATAGCTAGTGGGCTAGGATGCACTTGTTCTTGGAGGAAGCTTTTCCTCTTTGCATCCTTTTCACCTAGATTTATGCCTCCTGCACAATAACTATTAATACTCTTTAGTAGATTTGGAAATTCACGTTTCTAAAAAAACTTGAATGGATTTGGGTTAAGATCAGTTTATTCTAGTGCCAAGCAAGTGCTCACTTTCAAGTGCTGTTTGTTATTTATCTAGTAAAAGATTGGTACTAACCACAGTTGTGCATCTCCAGGAAGGCATGCAACTGAGCTGACAAATTCTGCTCTCCTAGTTAGATATTTACATTGGTTGCCAGGTTCCTATACTAGTATTTGGAGAGAGAAGGTAGGCAGCATTCAGTTCTGTTCTTCCCTCTTGCCACTCAGATGTATTTTTGGGTGGGATAGATGTCTACGTCTGGCACTCTGTTAACTTGCCTGCATGGAAATACACAGGCACCTGGAAGACTCTGTAATTGGGGGATTTGGTGATGAGGAATCAAATCTGACAATGCTGTTTTCCTCCATAAGAAGCCTTATAATGCAAGGAAAATCTGCTGGAGGACTAGAAAACAGCATGACCAACTGGCACTAGCTTGCAATTTTGAAAGATGCAAATTATCTGAAATATTAATGGCAAATGTGCCTGTGATAAGACTTACAAGTGCTGAGTCAGGATCTTGTAGATCTGAAGTGTAAGGTCTTACACATTAGTCCTTGGCCAGGTTCTGAAGCTTGGAGTAGCATGCCCGTATACCTGGTAACTTACTCAGATGATTTATTGGAGTCATAGTCACAGTATTTTTATTTTTATTATAAATCTATATACCTGTGGAATTTGTGCTTTTACTGTAAAAAATTTGTTATAGTTTGGGACTCAGTCTACAGCTTACACCACCTTACACATGCTTGATAGCAGGGCAGGCTTTGAGACCAGAATTCTGTTGTGAGTGGTGAGTTCTTTATACCCTGTTTTGGGAAGTATAGCACAACTTTGGTAGCCAGATCGTTTTAACTCTTGACTTCTGTAGCTCTTCAGATAATCAAATCTGTTTATACAGCGCACACTCCTGGTCAGAACAAAGAGCCCAAAGAGAAAAGGCAGGGGCATTACAAAAATCAGTACAGCAACATGTTTCTGAGGTTAGTTCTATGTTCAAATGGAGTATTATTTGTCATCTGACTTAGCGTAGGAACTTTGATTTGGAGGTCTGGCAGTTAAGCTTGTGTTAATGTTACAGTAGGGGGATGTTCTGCAATGGGGTGTTAGGAGATGAAATCCAGGGGTCTTCGGTTGGAGGGACCAGTGTTGTGCATGGCTCCTTCCTGGATTTTTCTAAATTTGAGCACTCTGGCAGCATTATTGTAACTCTTCCTGGGAGAAGATGCTATTTTGATCTTCCTGGACTGCAGGAACCAATTTCTTATGGTTAATGTGGGTACCTTTCTGCTTCTTCAGGGTGCATGTGTCTTACAAAAATAATAAGTTGTTCAGCTATTCTGCTGGCATTGTTTTTTGTGCAGTTCATTGTCTGATAAACAGCAGCAAAGAACAGGTGAACATCTGGTTGAGGAACTCAGACCTGCCTCTGTACACAGCATCCTGATGTCAGTTGTTTCTTTAAAGAATTTTTACTTGCATCTGTTCTGAAACTGCTCCTTTTTCTTCCTCAGAGCAAGTTCGATAACCTTTATGGTTGCAGAGAGTCCCTCATCGATGGCATCAAGCGTGCGACAGATGTCATGATTGCTGGGAAAGTAGCAGTTGTGGCAGGTTATGGTGATGTGGGCAAAGGCTGCGCTCAGGCCCTGCGGAGCTTTGGAGCCAGAGTCATCATCACTGAAATTGATCCCATCAACGCACTGCAGGCAGCCATGGAAGGTAAGAACTGAAGGAGATGCAAAAATTAATGCATGTGATAGAGGTGTCTGCGTGTCAGTGTAGAGCAACAAGTGATAACTGGCCAAGGAAGTTTTAGTGGGTTTCAGCTCCATCCCTGTTGAGGTAGAGTTGACTCCAGTTTAACTGTAGGAATTCTTTCCTGGCAGTTAGGGTAGGAGTTTATTAGTGTAGGCCTCAAAGATGTCTTTGCAGTCAAGGCAATAGAGGCTGTAGTGGAGTAGGGCCACTATGTCATAACATGGTAAGCCTGCTTTAGGATGGCTTTGTTACCTTCAGGTTGTGTCACTCTAACCTCCAGCATGCATTAAGATGCCATGCTCTCTGCCTTTCCAGCTGTGCTCCTTCTCTTCATGGGAGTGACTGTGTAATTATACTTAGTACCAGTTTATTCCATTTCTTTCCATACCTGACTAGAACCTGCAGGTGTTGTGGGTGTACTTCCCTTTGCAAACTTGACCCCTGAATCCAGTTTGAGTGCTGTGCCAAATGTCTTATGCCCACCAATGGGCATAAGACATTGCATGGATAGATTACAGAGTGGAAATGAGTGAGGGGTAGATATTTTGATGCTATGTTTGTATTTAGTAAGACAAGTATACTTATACTTTACATCCTCCATAGGTCAGGTGGTGGGACAGACCTATTCTTTCTCTGTACTTTTCTACTTGAAATACTGTACCTCATTTTTTAATAAGTGTTTGTGCTGGATAGAGGAATAACATTTTCTCTTTTCAGGTTATGAAGTTACAACCATGGAGGAGGCCTGCAAAGAAGGCAATATCTTTGTTACCACCACTGGCTGCACTGACATTGTTCAGGGCAGGTATGGTCTAGCCACTTGCTTTGGTGAAAGCATACCTGTACAGTTAGACTGGTTTAAAATACAGTCATAACTTGTCAGCAATATGGTGAGGGTTAGCACACATTATCATTGCAGGATATCAGAATTTAGCATCTATTTAGTGAGAAATTGGGGCTTTGGTCTTTCAGTTCAGTTGGATGTTGCCGTGTTGCAGTTGTTCCTGTCTTACAGTATGTGATGATGGGGAAACAAAAGGTGTAGAGGGATAAGTAGCTCTGATGCTCTTATTCTCCAGAATATTCTGTGTTAGGACAGCTAAATATGAAGAAAGGAGGTAGGTAAAGGTTGAAAGCAATTCCATCTGTGAGTAAACATGTTTCAGGTTTGACCAATTACAGTGGTTTTACTTTCCATACTGGGAGAATATTTTCTCCTCAATAACCTCTTGTGTCTCTGGGAAGTTTCCTTCCCTAGAAGCTGGAGAGTTTTTTTTCCAGTAGACTTTGCATGCCTGCAGGATTACTAGACTCACACATCTTAAGTCAAATGCAATCAGTGAGCACTTAGTATTTCTCCTTGAACAGAGCTATGGACTAGAGCATCTTCTTTTGCTGAAGAAATCTTTTTGTGCATTAACTTTGAATGTAAATTTATTTATTTTTTTTTGCAGGCACTTTGAGCAGATGAAGGATGATGCCATAGTGTGTAATATTGGCCATTTTGATGTGGAAGTTGATGCAAAATGGCTGAATGAAAATGCAGTAGAGGCGGTGAATGTTAAACCTCAGGTGAGACAGCCCTTGTGCAAGCTCTACTGCTTGAAAAGCAATATCTACTCAGTGTCTGTTTCCAGAAAGGGAGGTATTTCTCTGAAGGTACTTTGTTTTTCTAGCTTTCTTGGAAGCCAGTGTTCCTCTGGGCTGATCAGAATGGGGATTCTACTCTGATCTTCCCTGATTAAACTGAAACAAGCTGCATGACATATTCTTGTGTTGGTGTTAACATAGTTGGTTCCAGCTAGTGCCCAGGTGCACAGCATGTGGATGCATCTTTCTCCATGTGTTCCTACTTCCTTGACAAACAGGAGCCTACCACTTGGTGGTGGCTGTGTAAACAATTAATTGCCTCAAGTTGATTCCTTATAGAAAGTCAATTTTGACATTTGGGGTATGTCGAGGAGATGTCAAAATGTGCTCTCTTTGATAGTTCTGAGCTAAAACCAAAGCCATAACTGAGTTTCAAAAAGCAAGCTTGAACAGACCATAGAGACCATATGAAACTTAAGAACTGAGCCCTTATATTGCCTGGTTTCTTCTCAAAGCTGCTTGCTCATGTAGTGCTCTGCACCAGAGCAATCTTGGTCTTGGTTCTGTGTGCCGTCAGGACTAGCGTGGATCTCAGGGAAATTCTGGGGTTCTGACAAGGCTCTTAAGAATTCACGCCTCTGTTTTCAAAGGGTTTTTTTCAGTCAGAAGCTTCAGGAAAGCCTATCTGGAGCTCTGCCCGGCTCAGACTTCTCTTCAAAGTGGCTTCATTTTAGAATCCTGTGTAGAGGAGAAGTCTGCATGTGGGCAGACAAGGCCAGATGTGTTATCCTTCCTCTGCTTGCAGTTCCACTATGTATTTACTTCAGGCTATGGCTGCAGCTACATACATGTCCTGGGTTCAGGTGTAACAGTCATTTTTCTCCTTTTTAGTTGCTGGTGCAGTGCTCTGTTTTTGACTTTAGTCTGAGCACAACGCTGATAATACATTGATGTTTTTAGTTGTTGCTGAGTAATGCTTACTTCATTTGAGGATTTATGCTCTGCCAGTGAGGAAGGGCACAGGAAGCTGGGAGGAAGCAGAGACAGGACACCTAACCCCAACTGACCAAAGGGGTATTCCATACCACAGCTCTTTGGGGGGAGTTACCCAGAAGGCCCAGATTGCTGCTCAGGTCAGGCTGGGGATCAGTCAGTGGGTGGTGAGCAATTGTATTGTGCATCACTTGGTTTTATTGTTTTCTTTTCCTTTTCCCTTTTTAGTTTTATATTCTTTCCCCTTGTTAGTTTCCTTATTACTGTTATTAGTGGTGGTAGCAGTAGTGGTTTTATATGGTACCTTAGTTACTGGACTGTTCTTATCTCAACCCATGGGATTTACGTTCTTTTGGTTTTCCTCCCCATCCCTCTGGGAGTGGGGTGGGAAGAAGAGGGGGAGTGAGCGGCTGCATGGTTCTGAGTTACTGGCTGTGCTTAAACCACGTCAGTAGGGAAATGGGGATCTAAAATTTCAGCTTTTCAGCTTTGTCTCAAAGCAGAAAAACTAAACTAAATCAAAACTGGTTTGTAACACCAGCTTTGAGGGAGAATATACCATAATGCAAACCAGGCTTTGTCTGTCTTGGCATGGGACTTCTAGTTGACTTTTAAGGAGGGAGTGTGCTTGCTGATAGCAGGATTCTGGGACAGGTTTTCTACTTTTTTAAAAATGCCACACCCAAGCATGCATACGTGGTGGATCTTAATCTGCCCTTATGATTTTCATAGTTCCCCTGTGGCTTATTGGCTACCCACATCAAACTGTTACTAAACAGTCAAGAGTTTTTTGAGGATTGTGTTTTGCTGTTGGGACACCCTGTGTGGGCTCAGCTTGAATATATGAAGTTATACCCTCAAGTTTTCACTATGCTCAAGTCTGTTCTTGCTCATGACCTTAATGTGGAGCTGATTTTGCCCAGCAGCCCTGAGCCTGTAGCTAGCTGCTTGCTTTCTGCAAGCTCAGGTTTTAAAACTAGAACTGGGATTGCTCAGAAAATAAATGTTGTTGAAGGCTAACTTGGATGCTGGTGTGGTGAAATACAGACTACCTGCACATGGCCATTGAATGTGGCTCCTGAAGTCGACATGAAAAATCGTGTCACTATTGGCAGAGGTAGTAGTCCCTTTTTCATTATATACTCTATTGAAGGAGGCAGTATGTCACAGATTTATTGGGTACACTGAGATGCAGTATAGTCTGAGGTATGAAAGCTGTAACAAGTTTCTGGTTAAAACCAGAATATCACTGTTTCAAAAGGGTGGAATTGGGGTCAAGGTCATCCATGTGGTTTAATGCTGAAAACCTACCTGTTTGAAAGGACTCACCTAAAGCTGTAAAAGGTAAAGCTCTCACAGCTCTGAGTAGATCACCTCTCCTTCTGCTTGATGCACCGATAGTGAAGCTGAGAGAATTTACTGAGAGAAATAGCATTTTACCCTTGGCCTCCTCTTGGACTTTTCCTTACCCATCTACTGGTTGGCCCTGGAGATGGGATTTACATAGAGGTGAACCTGATCTTCTGTGGCCATCTGTGTGTTGGAAGCTTTGCTGAACTGATGGTCTATCGATGTGTACACTGCCAAGCCAAATAAAAGCTGGTCTGATTCAGGTTAGTCCTTGGGATTTGCTGACTTTGACCAGTGAATCTGAAGCACTGCTAACTAGTCTGAGTCACCAGTTGGACTCTTATTGGTGTACTTAATACTATGTGCTGTGATAGTGGTATATCCCTATGCTTCATTTTGTGTCGGTTTAGATTTGTTGTCCCTAAAAACTTCAGACCTGCATGCCAAGGTGAGGAAGTACCTGCTGAGGAGGTATTATGTGAACCAAGTTCTGCTGTGGAAAAGCTTCAGTATTCTTTTTCATTCTCTGTTCCTGATAGCCGTGGCATTTGAACAGGAATGGGCTAATACACATCCTAAGAGCGTACTTGTTCCAAAAGAGGGAGAGGCAGGAGTGGAAGGCAAAATGTGACTTTAGGATTCCAAATTTCATGCTTGAAACAAATTAAAAGTAGAAATTTGCTGGAATTGTTTAACTCTTCCAGGACATGTGTTAACTTTAGGTTTCAAAACAAGCTCCCAGGAGGTATCATAGAATCATAGAATAGTTAGGGTTGGAAGGACCTTAGGATCATCCAGTTCAACCCCAGACACTTCCCACTAAAGATGTCACCCAAGGCTCTGTCCAACCTGGCCTTGAACATGGCCAGGAATGGAGCATTCACAACTTCCCTGGACATTCCAGTGCCTCACCACCCCTACAATAAGGAACTTCCTCCTTATGTCCAATCTGAACTTCCCCTGTTTAAGTTTTAACCCATTACCCCTTGTCCTGTCACTACAGTCACTAATGAAGAGTCCCTCCCTAGCATCCTTATAAGCCCCCTTCAGGTACTGGAAGGCTGTTATGAGGTCTCCATGGAGCCAGTATCGTGCAGCTCCTGTCCCTTTCCACCTGTATGTGAATTCATCTGCATGTCTTGAAACCTTTCTCAGGGCAGCAGTTGAAGATTCATTATAATAATTGGTAGAATTGCTCTTACACTGAAATCTGGGAAGGAAATCACCACTTTGCCACTTAGACCATTGCTGGTTTCTCAGTTTTGTTGCTCGGATTCATCAAAGGGATGCTTCTGTGGTTATGTTGTCCCTAGTTCTTTGGAGACCTCAGCGGGAGTCTAGACCTTTGTTAAAAGTGTGAGATGTTGTGCTTATCCTGAGAATAACAGGTGTGGTTTTCACATCAGTGTTCTGAGTTGAGGTATCTTATGTTTTATAATACCAACTCTCCAAATACTTAAAGACCTGGCAGCTTTTTTCTGTATCTTGTAGCAGGGAGGGGAATATAAGTCAAGAGCAAAAATCTCTAACCTCCTGGGAAGACACCTGTTGGTTGATCAGAGGATCAGTACTGGAGCTAAGGGTTGCTAGACTTCAGCTAGAGGTACAGAGTAGTTGTGGAAGTGTCTCACATGATAGTTTTCAGTACCATATGGTCTCCATTTACAAGCAGTGAGCTGGTGTAAGAAGTGTTTAATACTTGGGAAAGGAAAACACTGTGCCATTCTGACTCATTGGTTGCTTTCAAAGTACAGTTAAGGAGGAAATAGTGCTGAAGAGTTGGCAGGTTGTTTTGAATATGATTTTGCACTGCAGCCCTCTGCAGCTGTGCTCTGGTATTAGAAACTGACGTGTAGTGCAAGCTCAGCTCTAGAGGGAAAGGAAGCGTGAGGGTGGGATCAATGAACTTGGCCTCTGAAAATAAATTTTTTGTATCATGATGTGCAAAGCAGCCAGGAGGTCCAGAGCAGCTAAATGCTGATGGGGAAAGGGAGGAGACATTGTGTAAATGTGGAGATGAACTTAATGCTCATATAACTTGAATTCTATTTCCACAACAATTTCTTGAGCTTATGGATCAGCCTGTTTGTCTGTCCGTAGATGAGCTGTGTTTCCACAGTTTTGACTTAAGCCTCTGATGGTACCACTGCTGTTTGGTATTTATTTCTGAAGGAATACATTAATTTGCATTTTCTGTGTTACCCTGTGCATTGATTGAGTCATGTCAGGAGCTGCTGAAGGTATGTGATTCTCTGCCCAAGCGAGCAGCTGGCCAGGTGCAAGTTGTGTGGATATTACATGGGTATAAAATTCTGACATCTAAAGCACCCAGACTTTAAAACTGAAAAGGTACTCAACTGCTACCTTGTAAGTAAAATCTTAAATATAATCTTGTAGCTGTTCTCAGGGTTTTTAGTGTTCTTCCTTATGAGTGCTTCCTTCTTTGTTTCATTTCTTCCTCTCATAATCTTACAGTAACCCATATGGTATTTTTTGAATGGACTGAGCACTGTCACTGGTGGCCCATAGTGATGAATCAGCATCCATAAGAAATACTGCAGCTGCTCAGTGGAGAAAGTTCTTACTAACCCTACCTTGCTGTCCTGCCCTTGGACAGGAGAAAGTAAGAGTATTGTTTAAGGCTTCTATTTGGGGTGCTTACTGTCAGCATCTGTGCTCAAAAAGCAATTTGTGTTATGAACCCAAGAAATAGAAACAGTGCTGTGATTGAAGCATTACTCGGGAAGACAGGTGGAGGCACAGACCTGCTCTGAAGGCAAAATACCTGTTCAGTAAAATGATTTCTCTTGGTTTACTTATTACATCTTATTTACTTATTACCTTTCTCTTGGTTTACTTATTACATCTCTGCTAAGGACCTGCACAAAGATGGGCTTTTCAGAAGACAGTACTGTTACAGTTTTTTACACATGGCTTTTAACTTATATGCCAAAGCTTTAAGACTAAAATTGAGTGCTGGGTGGTTTGCTTCACATTAAATAACTTAAATAAGACTAAAAGTATAAATACAGCTGTGGGGAGGAACCCTTTTAAGTATTTCATAGTTGCTTTGCTATGACAGTGTAAGTGGTCTAAAGCATTAACCCTTGTCCAAGGTTGGTTGTTGACTAGCTCTTAAGTCTTTCCAAAGGTTTGCTTTACTCCCTTGTGGTTGGTGTAACATGACCAATAAATACCAATGAGTACTGAATTTTCTTGCGACTTATAGCCCATATTGATGCTTGATTCTGGGCTTTAATACTGTAACCTCCTACAGGGGTGAAGACAAGGGAGAGAATAGCAACTGGTACAGATAAGAAGCAGAGTTAACTTTTAACATTGCAGGAGCCTAATCTGGCCCAGACAACTGAGGCACATATGAAGTGACATTATGTCCTGAATTGTGTGGGACTCTTATATAGCTGAGACCCTTCTCCTTAGCTCATCTGAGACTTGATTCTATGTGCAGAGTCCTGTTGTCCCCAGCATAGCTTGGAAGTCAGTCTGAATGGAGGACTGTGTCTTTGGCCCCATGACAGCAAAAAGGGGGGTGCAGCAGAAGCTAGGACAGCTGCTGGTTATACTGTAGAGCATTGGCCTTTTGCGAGTGGGAGGGGTTACATGGGAGCAGTTTCAGCAGGCTGAGGAGTCTGGCTTTTACCCCTGTGTGAGATGCAAAGGCTCTGGACTGTTTGATGCCGAGGTGTTCCCTCTTGTCTCCTGTTTTCCACACCATTTGTTACAATTAGGCATATATGAGCTGTATTTTACTGCTAGTAGCATGCTTCCCACTACAGCCATCTGAAACAACGCATATGTGGAAGAGCCCCATGAACTGGGTAACTGGTTCAATATGAAAAGCAGATGCCAAAATTCATGTGCAAAGTCCAGAATAGCTGTGAGCTTCACAAACATTGGTGAGGAATTGAGAGAGGGGATGTCTCAATTTTATCAAAGTCTGTATTGCAAGCATACTTCTGAATTGCAAGAAAGCCCACAAAGCTTTGTATGATTTAAAATGCTTTCTTTACCCTGACCTAGCACTGCTCTTGTGTTTTCCTACCCAGGTGGATCGTTATACACTGAGGAATGGCCGCCACATTATACTGCTAGCAGAGGGTCGACTGGTCAACTTGGGCTGTGCCATGGGTCACCCCAGCTTTGTTATGAGCAACTCCTTCACCAACCAGGTGCTGGCACAGATCGAGCTGTGGACCAATAGTGACAAATATGCTGTTGGAGTCCATTTCTTGCCAAAGAAGGTGAGTTAGAATACCAGGAAGATGCAAGTTTGTAAGGAAGTCAACTTCAGATATGATCATGTACATTTGTTTTGTTTGTCCTTGAGTTCATTTTCCTACTGAATGCTGCTGCAAGGAGCTTTTGTCAGTTTGCAGATGGTTGGCTTTGCGTTGCTGAGTCTGAAGTGGGCTGGTTTCTGTGGCTTACATGTCATGCGGAACTGGGACTTACCTGTCCTGTGATAGGAGCGTCCAGTCCCTTTTTGGCTTCACCTGGGGCTCTTCCCTAAGGTGGTGGGAAGCCCTGTGCTGTTTCAGGGTAGTAAGGAGCTTCTTCTAACCAGCTTGTTCCTCCTGCTGAATGTCAGTATTCACAGCAACCTTTCACACACCCATCCAGCAGCAAAGTCTAGTGTGGCAGAGTTGAAGCTGGAATGAAACTAGGAATCACTTTTGCTGGGTTCCATTTGCACCTGAGCAGAGCTTATCAGAACCCAGTCCTAATACCATCACAAAATATTAATGACAGATTCCCTCAGGTTTCCCTTTAAACTTATCTCATCATTCTGTGTTCTTGGAAAAATCTGGATCATGTCATAACTCACAGATTCTTTTTAGAAAATGAACCTGGCTTTAATTTTCCAAAAGAGCCTGAGAACTTGAGATAGTCATTAAAAAAGATGCTGGAGTTAGATTCCACTGCCTTTGGAATGAAACCATGTGTGAGATTAAATGTGAAAATACTTTTCATTTGGGAAGTGAGATGTATATGTTTGGGCTTACTTTTGGAGTGCTTGCTGAAGGACTTAAGCCTCCAAAACCATGTTAATGAAAGCATACCAGAAATACAGCATAGGAGTTGATCAGCAAGCTGACACATGAGCTTCAAAGGAAAAGTTTTGTTGACAATTGTCGTGAAAATAGTAGTGCAATGCTAATAAAATGTGGCTTCATACTTCTCCTGAAGAACAATTTTTAGCGTACTTGAACTGGAAATGAGAAATAATGGCCAGATCAGTTACTTAGAAATGGGATTGCATGTTAGTGGATCATATGGCAGTGATCTCTTCAGGTTCATGTGCTGTGATAAAGTGCTTTTTTTACCCTCTGCTCTCCATAGAGAATTTCAAAGAATAAAAGATTTGCCTTGTCAGAATCAACTAAAGATGGGCAGAAGAGCTTTCCCTGAGAATTTTCTGGCTAATATCTTTCCTTGTTCTGCGTAGTAGCTTTGAGGTCCAAATGTAAAATTCAAGAATTACCAAGTACCTTATATTGCACTTTTTTTTGACTGCAAGATATTGCTTTGATAAGCTATTACAAACATGCACACATTTCTGCCATGTGTGTTCCTCGAGATCCAGGCAAACTGTTCTGTCCATGATCTTGGCACTGACTCTGTGCATTGTCATACTCAGCTATCTGATTTTAAGGTAAGAATGTGTTGTAGTTTAACACAGCCTGCAACTAAGTACCATACAGCTGCTTGCTTACCCCCTGGATTGGAAGGAGAACTGAAAGAATGTAGGTTGAGATAAGAACAGTTAAATAACTGAAGCACAATATAATAGTACTACTACTAATAAAGGAAATAACAAGGGGAGAGAATATAAAGCTAAAAAGGGGAAAGGAAAACAAAGTGATGCACAATACAATTGCTCACACTGGCTAATACCCAGTCCAACCTGAGCAGCAGTAGGCTCCTCCCAGCTGACTGCCCCAGTTTCTGTACTGGGTATGATGAGCTGTGGTACCCTTTTGGCTACCTGGGGTCAGGTGTCCTGTCTCTGCTCCCTCCTGGCTTCTTGCGCCCCTCCTCACTAGCATAGCATGAGACTGAAAAGTCCTTGATTGAGGTAAGCATTACTTAGCAATAACTAAAACATTGGTGTATTATCTGCATTGTTCTCAGACTAAAGCCAAAACACAGCACTGCACCAGCTACTAGGAAGGAAATTAACTTTATCCCAGGCAAAACCAGGATAGAATGTCAGCTTACTTTCATCTAAATTTGTGTAGCTTTTCATCTAAATCTTGAAGGCCCCAAGCTGAAGCAGCTCTGAAACAGCTTCTCTCTGAGAACCTGAGAACCTGATCTGGGAGTGTCAGGGACTCAGTTGCTTTTCAAGTGGGTGTAATTTGTCTTAAACTTGCTGGGAAATACACTCATCGGATTGTCACATGTCACTCTAATCAACCAGATACGCATTCCATTTTTAATCCTCTTTTGGTTTTTTTTGGCAGGATCTGCTAAGCTTCAGGACTTGTTTCCCTTCTAAACACAGTCCTTCCAGTTGGCTTTTTCTTTTAAGATTTTTTTTTTTCCTGACCCTAATGTAGTGTTCAATAGCTTCCATGGTTCACTCCCACGTTCTTCAACCACTTCATCTTACGTTTTTAATTTTGCCTTGTACATCTTTGGCTGTGTTGGTGCTCAAGAGAGGTTGTCATTTCCATATTACTATGAGCAGGTTGGTCTGCAGTGAATTACGCTCTATATAACGGTACTCTGTACAGTAGCTTTTTATCTGGTTCGTTGCAATGGGATTATTCAAGGTAGTTGCCACACTCCCTTTGAGTGGGAAATCTAGAACTAGCTACTGAATCATTTAGGACATGATGTTTCACACAAGCTGAAGATCTTGCCCTTGATTGTTTTGTTGATTTATTGCCCTTCAAATATATTGCAGCCTTTGGCATGTATTTAACTTGTATGGGGGAAGTACTGCCAGTCTTCCCTGTGCTGCTGGAATTTAGACTTATCTTCTGTTTTCTTAGCAATGATTACTTGTAATTTGCAGGAATTACAAATGGTGGTAAAACTTGTCCTTCTGTTGTAGCAGCAGCTGATCTCTTCTTAGGGTTATCCTTTCTATCTTTGAATATCCTTTATGGCTCTTACATTCCCCTCTGACATAGCAGCTAGTTTGTTATTCTAGTGGTTTTGGACTCTCTTACCTATCCCCTGTGATACTTTACTATCTTGTAGTTTAGATATTTTTTCTGTCCTTTGAGTTTGCATGTCTGCCTTGCACGTGTGGGGTAAAGTATATCAACATTTCTGAGCCTGTGTCCTGCAGCCAACCTCGGCTTTTTCTTTAATGAAGACATTGCCAATAGATACTAGCATTCTTGCTAAATTAATGATTATGGAATGAATTGTTTAATACATGTATGCCTAAAATGGGGATATCTGGAAAGGAGATGCATTCTTCCAGTATTAGAACTTGCAGAATCATAGAATGGTTTGTGTTGGAAGGGACCTTAAAGCTCATCCAGTTCCAACCCCTGCCACGGGCAGGGACACCTTCCAGCTTGCTCCAAGCCCTGTCCAACCTGCCCTTGAACACTGCCAGGCATGAGGCAGCCACAGCTTCTCTGGGCACCCTGTGCCAGCGCCTCAGCACCCTCACAGGGAAGAGCTTCTGCCTAAGAGCTCGTCTCAGTCTCCCCTCTGGCAGGTGAAAGCCATTCCCCCTTGTCCTGTTCCTACAAGCCCTTGTCAGAAGCCCTATAAATATATAATCTATAATCCCATAAAACATGAAGTACTTAGAAATCCCAAATATTATTTTCAAGTATTTTTAGATACTTCCTCTCCAGGTTTCCTGCAGCCCCTTTAGGCACTGGAGCTGCTCTCAGGTCTCCCCTTCAGGAGCCTTCTCTTTTCCAGGCTGACCCAGCCCAGCTCTCTCAGCCTGGCTCCAGAGCAGAGCTGCTCCAGCCCTAGCAGCATCTCCGTGGCCTCCTCTGCACTCTCTCCAACAGCTCCACGTCCCTCTTGTGCTGCTGCCCTAGGGCTGGATCAGGGCTGCAGGGGGGGTCTCCCCAGAGCACATCAGAGGGGCAGAATCCCCTCTCTGAGCTGCTGCTCACACTCTGGGGGTGCAGCCCAGCACATGGGGGGGCTGTGGGCTCAAGCACACACTGAAGCTGGGTCATGGGGAGCTTCCAGTCAACCAATACCCCCACATCCTTCTCTAAAATTATTTGAAACTGTAAGGTGTCCCTGCCCATGGCAGGGGGGTTGGAACTTGATGATCTTAAGGTCCTTTCCAACCTTAAGGATTGTATGATTCTATGATAGCCTAGTGTGTTGAGGTGCCTTCATAGTGGAAACATGACTGGGGCTTTACCATTCTATCCAACTGAATATTGTTGTCTCTGAATAGATTATCTGCGTTCTTTACTTGTTGTATGGATGTGATTGTGTTAATAAGATAGAAATGGACTTAATCGAGTCCTCTGTCTCATTTTAAGCTTTATTTTACTCCCTCAAAAGCTTGGGCCTTTTCCATCTAAACGCAGTTCTGTGCTGAAAGCAGATACCTCTGCGCTTAAGCAGGTGAGGTATATTAGCCAGAAAAGAGCTGTCTGACTGTTCATCTGTGTCAGTCAAAGTCCTCCATGTAGCTGTTACATATTTTTCACATTCTTGTCTTACTACTTACCATGACTTCCTGAACTAACTTACTCTGCAAAAATTCTCACCTCAGTGTTTTGTTTTCCAGCTGGATGAAGCTGTGGCTGCTGCTCATCTGGATAAACTATGTGTGAAGCTGACAAAGCTGAGTGACAAACAGGCCAAATACCTTGGCTTATCAAGAGATGGGCCATTCAAGCCAGACCACTACAGATACTGAACAGGTGGCACTACCCAAAGACCAAAGCAGAGATACAACCTTCCAAAGCTTGTGTGTGCTGGGCTTCTGAGAACAAGTCCTTTGCCGTTATCCTCCCAGTGCTGCAGAACTTCTCCCCTTACCAAAGGAGCTTCAGGGCCTTGTTTGTTTAAGAGGATCACTCTGACTCTTGGAATTGAATTGGTTACTTGGCTAATGTTATTGTGAAAAGGATCCTGTACCATTTTTATTGGCTTCTGGTATCCGCGTACGGGGAGCAGGACAAGATTGCTAAATGAAAATGTGTAGTCTTGTCAAATACGTGACAGCCTCTAGAGTGGCCAACCAGTAAGATGGGGAACAGTGTCTAGAGGGAGATGCTTTCTGACATGCCCTGCTCGAATTAGGTGCATCCTTAACATTAGGAGGCTGGCAGTGTCTGGGTTCTCTCCACAGAGGTGCCCTAACTGAAGTGCATGTTGTGAATCTGGAGGAAGTAAGGAGGAGTGTATGTTTGGTCTCCTGTCAAGTCAACTTAACCTCCTACTCTGAGATTAGAATTGGAGGATTTGTTTTTTTTTCTGGATTAATTTACTCCATCAGTTTTTGATAGAACACTGACCTTCTTTGCTTCTTCTGTACCAACTTGAAGAGGGGTGAGGCAAGAGTGACTTTTTTTTAGCAGCCTTCTAGTGTGTTGTGAATGGCTGAGAAGCCACTGAGGGGATGGTTAGGTTTAGGGACCTTGTTCAATCCTCTGGAAACACCAGCAGCACACTTCTACCCCCAACTTGATTTCTTTTTTTTTGAGTTGTCATGTCTGCTGTATCTTGTTTGTCACTGACTCAAAAGTGCTTTTATTAAAGATCTGACTGTGGCCTGATTTGGTTTGTATAGTGAGATGCTTTGGATTTGCTCTGTATGGTTTGTATACTGAGATGCTTTTGGATGCTCTGTATGATCCTGAAGCTACTGAAAATAGGTAATGTGTCTACATGGGGTTTCCTTAAGGCAAAAGCCAGTGCTGTGGCTAGCCTGCACCATATACGTGAGCTGGGAAAAGCTACTTCTCGGGTTACTGAAATATTTGAGGGGTTGAATCTTACAGGAAAAACACTCTTCTCCCTCTCACCACCTGCTTATCTCAATATGTCATGAAAGTCCTCTCTTGACACTATTCAGCAGTGAGTAATATACAGGAGGCTACCTCTGTTTCCAGATGCAAGAAGATGAATGGTTTGGCATGATAAAGCATGCTTCAAGTGCACTGAGATTCATTCATTCAAGCACCAGGTGTGATGTCAGCCATTAAAACTGATGGTGTAGAGTACGAACTGCTGGAGGAAGAAAAAGAGGGATTAGTACACAAGGTGTTAATCTGGATGCAGCATATTTTCATTGCTTTGTTTTGTGTTGACCTCTAAAAAGTACCAGTTTGAATTTGGGTCCCACAAAGCTGCTATAAATGATTCCATAATCAGTAGTGAGGATTATCTTTTAAACTTGCATATATACACTGAGCTATACACAGTTGTAGTACACATCTAAATGTAGGTAGTGGTCACCTTCTGTCACAGAGCACAATGATGACAAAATGTCATTGTAAAGCAAATGCAATAAAAACAAGGACTGGGTGTTATCATTCATTAGTTTCCAGAGCTGGGCTTTGGCTTCTCTACACCTATTTCTCAGCTGAACATCTGCTATTCTGAAATACAGGGTTGTAATTCTGCTGTGAACTTGGATCATGAATTCATAGAATAATTCAGTTGGAAGCTAAGCTAAGGAAGTGTGGGCTTGATGATCAGGTAGTGAGGTGGATCAAGAACTGGTTGGAAGGAAGAAGGCAGCTGTGGTCAATGGGGCAGAATGTAGCTGGAGGTCTGTGACTAGTGGAGTCCCTCAGGGGTCGGTGCTGGGACCAGTGCTGTTTGATATTTTCATCAGCGACCTGGATGAGGGAACTGAATGTACCCTCAGCAAGTTTGCTGATGATACTGAACTGGGAGGAGTGGCTGACACACCAGAGGGCTGTGTTGCCATTCAGTGAGACCTGGACAGGCTGGAGAGGTGGGTGGAGAGGAACTTGATGAAATTCAACAAGGGCAAGTGTAGAGTCTTGCATTTGGGGAAGAACAACCCCATGTACCAGTACAGGTTGGGGGCTGACCTGCTGGACAGTAGTGAAGGGGAAGGGGACCTGGGGGTCCTGGTGGATAGGAGGATGACCATGAGCCAGCAATGTGCCCTTGTGGCCAAGAAGGCCAATGGCATCCTGGGGTGCATTAGAAAGGGTGTGCTTAGTAGGTCAAGAGAGGTTCTCCTCCCCCTCTACCCTGCCTTGGTGAGGCCGCATTTGGAATATTGTGTCCAGTTCTGGGCCCCTCAGTTCAAGAAGGACAGGGAATTGCTTGAAAGAGTCCAGCGCAGAGCTACAAAGATGATTGAGGGAATGGAACATCTCCCTTATGAGGAGAGGCTGAGGGAGCTGGGACTCTTTAGCTTGGAGAAGAGGAGACTGAGGGGTGACCTCATCAATGTTTACAAATGTGTAAAGGGTGAGTGTCAGGGTGATGGAGCGAGGTTTTTTTTCAGTGATGTCCGTGATAGGACAAGGGGCAATGGGTGTAAACTGGAGCATAGGAGGTTCCATGTGAACATCAGGACAAATTTCTTTACTGTGAGAGTGACAGATCACTGGAACAGGTTGCCCAGGGGGGTTGTGGAGTCTCCTACGTTGAAGATATGCAAGGCCTGCCTGGACAAGTTCCTGTGTGATGTACTCTAGGTTACCCTGCTCTTGCAGGAGGGTTGGACTAGATCTTTTGAGGTCCCTTCCAACCCTTGGGATTCTGTGAATGGCTACCTAGAAATCTCTGGTTCATCCCTGTTCTCATACCAGGGCCAATTGTATCAGGTTGGAGATCAGCTTGCCTGTGTGAGTTTTGGTTGTCTCTGGAGACAGAGATCACAAACCTCCTTAGGCTTGTCTCCCAATATTTGACCACATTCTAGATGAAAATATTCTCCTGTACATTTAACTGGAGTTTCCTATGCTGCAGCCTCTGTTCATTGCTTCTCATTTTATCCCTCTGAGAAGTATCTACTTCCATCTTCATTACAGGCTTGCATTAGGTAGTCACAGGCAGCAATAAATTCCCCTTTACTTTTCTCTAGGTTGGATAAACCCAAGTTTAGTCTCTGTGCTTCAGTTCCCTCATCATCTTAGTGGTCCTCTGTATGCAGATGGATGCTTTCAGCTGTGTCAGTGTCATTATTATACTGGGGAGTGAAAATGGTGCAGGTGTTGTTGAAGTACCAAACAAGATAATCTGCTTTTGTTGGTACAGCTCTGGATAAAGTTTGGCTGCTTTGCTGTGTGGGCAGGCAAGGACCTTACATTTCACAGTCTCTGGAGGAAAGACTGCCTCCACCTTTCCATCTCTAAACAGTTTTGGAGTTTTTTTTGGAGTAACGGGTCCAGCAGCATCTCCCTTAGTTGGCTCTTTGATACTTGTGTCAAGAAGTTGGCCCCGATGGTCTCCATAAATCTCCTGCATTGCTTGTGCACAAACCTATTGCCCTTCCAGCAGATGCCAGAGGGGTAGAGTTCAAACTCCAGATTTTGCATTGGGCTTTCCAGGCACAGTTTTACATGCAGAATCTCTCACTAGAAACACTTTCTGAAACTCGGGAGCTGCTGCCCCTAAAAGCTAACAACAACAAACCCTCAAGTCTTTCCAAGGAAAACTCTGTGTGTGTTTATATATATATATATACACACGGATTTCTCTACCCATTAAACAGATGAATTCTGCAAGCAATCTGTAATGAGGATAAAGAGAAACAATAGAATGTCCTGATCTGCTACCCTGACTTGTCTGTGAATCTTGATGGAAGTGTCCAGACACTAGCAGCTTGACCAGGTCTGAAACAGTTCATCTGCATTCCAAAGGCTCTGGGCAAGGGTGCTAAAGCATCACCGTGAGGAGGAACTGTTGAGTGACTGCTTAGCAGAGCATGGTCATTGATCACACTCTCAAAAGTCTGATTTACTGCTGAAAATATAGTAGTTTCAGCAAATTAACAGTGTGGGAATTTGCGTGAAACATGGTTTGAGGTGATAAAATACAAAATTTATATTTGGAATATATCCTGCTAGGTCTTCTGTTTTATTGGTTGGAGAGGATGGTCAAACACAGATCCTAATAAAACCATTGACAGAATTTCTGTTCCACTGTCTGCAGTGTAGTTGTGGTTTAGTGCTGACTGCAGCAGAAACACTGTGCCCAGTGCCCGTCAACAGTCTGGTTTGGGAATTGGCAGTGTTAACACAAGAGGGGGTTAGATATTTTTGTTCAGCTGCTTCTGTGCACTGTAGCTGTTGTTTAGGTACAGCTCAGCAGGCTCTTCCTAAACAGGGGTCATCAAATATATATTGTTATCTCATGTCCTTATTCCCTCATTCCTTATGTTAATTTTTCTACAGGTGTTTGATTCCTATTGAAGATGGCTAAGAAGGCCACCAGCATCCTGGCCTGTATCAGCAATAGTGTGGCCAGGAGGACCAGGGCAGTGATCGTCCCCCTGCACTGGTGGGGGCCGTAGTTTGAATCCTGTGTTCAGTTCTGGGTCCCTCACTACAAGAGAGACACTGAGGTGCTGGAGCAGGGCCTGGAGCACAAGTGTGATGGGAAATGGCTGAGGGACCTTGGGGGGGTTTAGTCTGGAGAAGAGAAGGCTCGGCGGGGGGGACCTTATCAATCTCTACAGCTGCCTGACAGGAGGATGGAGTGAGATGGGGATTGATCTCTTCTCCCAGCCAGCAAGAAATAGGACAAGGGGAAACAACCTCAAGTTGCACGAGAGGAGGTTTAGATTTGGCATTAGGAAAAATTTCTTCACCAAAAGGGTTGTCAAGCATAGGAACAGGGAAGTGGCAGAATCACCACCCTTGCAGCTACTGAAAAGGTGTGTAGATGTAGCGCTGAGGGATGTGGTGTAGTGGTGCTCTTGGCAGTGCTGGGCTAATGGCTAGACTCGATGAACTTTCTAAATGAAGTTATTTTGTGAAATCACTTAGCCTTATTGCTCCCTGGCTTTTTGTTGGCAAGAGCTGTCACTGAGAGTTTTGGTACATTATTTACAACTTAGTTTTTAGCTGTTTTCTCTTTTTTTCTGTCTTTAATCTACGTGCAATCAATTCAGTATTCAGCCTAGCCTGTGGTTTAGCATCTCGATTCCCTGAACAAGAACTGTCCTACTGTGATTATCTTGCAATGGTTTCAGCAGGAGCTGATGAATGAAGAGCAATAGCACTGAAGAGAGCCCAGCATTGAAACCCCCTCCCTGTGTCAGCTCATGGCATTCCACATCTGGCATGGTGAGTCATAGGACAGTGACAGTCTACAGCTTTTCTCACTTTTGTGACTGCACAGAAAATGTCACATAGAGTAATATGTGAGCCACAGGCTCTCTGGATCTGAAATGCAGGATCCCAGAGAGTGGCAGATGGGTTATTGCACTGTATTGTGAATACAGAGATGGGATGAGAGATGGGATGAGAGTGTGAAGGGGGAAGAAATGCAAGTTTCAGTCTCAAATTTGTGAAACTCAGTTCTGGTGTATGGGTGATGCACTTAACAGTAACCTTGCACATGTTTTCTGTGAAAGGTTCCGTGAGGAGGTTCAGTTCATCGGGCTCATGTCCTCAACCTGGCCGACAAAATGTAGTAAGTCTTAGAGCAGCCTGCCCTGCTTCCAGTTCATTAGCCTCTTCTTCCAGTCTTGTTTGCAGGCTCATTTTGAAAGACAAAAATGTGAGATTTCTGACTGTGCATGAATGAGGTCCAGTTTGGGAAGGTGTGTACTGGATGTCAGAGG